GGGGGTTATTGTGCACGATTGAGCGGCTCGGAGACGAGCAGCGCCTGAGGCAGACCTGCCTGTGCGGATCCGCTGGACACCGGGAGCTGTGAACTGTCGATCATAGGTGCTGATTGCGTGTTCACGCAACAGGTACCGAAGAGTTTACAGCGCTTTAAACTTAGAGAATGACTTCATAGCTAAATCGCAAAGTTACCCTGTTTGCTGTGTTCCAAACAATTGCTTTACTTACTATGTTATACCTATTTTTTTAAATCCTTCGCCGGGTTATTTTTGCAGTGCACGGGGAACAGGAAGTAACTCAGTAACTCAGAAACAGAAGTAGAGAGTTTGTCTTAGAACGGAAGAGACACTGTAGTGAAGACATTGTAGCGAGCGTGTAGTTCAGTCGCATCATTTCTTAGGCGTAATACATTAAAAACGGCTTGTTGCTGTTTTATAGCAACATAACGAGGTTTGTTAACTATCGGCTCCGGCTCGCATCTTCTCGAGTTAAAACTAGGACCTTTCCGAGACCCGCAGAGCCCACGGGGCGCACACTCAGGCCGGTGTGGTATCGGACTCGGGGTTCAGCACCCTGGAGACCCGTGTCCCCCCCGGCAGCAGGGGAATTACTGGGCCACAGTGCTGCGCGGCCCTGTGGTCCCGCATGTTTTACTGTGCAGTTGGCAACCGAGGTTCTGGGACTTCCTGCCTGAGTCATTGGCCCAGTCCAGTAACTGAGGCCAGAGAGGCCCTGGAACGGCTTCACTGGAGGGGTCAGTTCAGTTCAGTTCAGTTCATTATCACATGCACAAGTGCAATGAAATGCTGCTTATTTGCATGTTTGCTCCAGTACACAGACATTAAAGGAATCACCAAAAACCTAAACACAGAACAGCAGCAGCAGCAACAACAACAGGTTAAATAACATACAACTTAAAACACATGAGTGTGAGTCAGCGGTAGGAGTAGAGTTCAGTCATCTGACAGCTTGTGGGAAGAAACTCTGAGTCTGCAGGTTCGTGCCTTCATGCTCCTATAACGCTGACCAGAGGGCAGGGGGGAGAAAAGTGAGGAACCAGGATGACGGGTGTCCTGAGCGATGCTCCCTGCCTTCCTGAGACGGCGAGATGTAAGAACTGAGTGGGTCCCTCAGTGAGGAGCTGCCTGGCTGACTGACCCACTTGGTCGTTGCTGAGCTGCTCAGTTGGATGTCTCACCTGTTGCTCTGTCTCCCCACTCAGCTGGACTCTTTCGGGGACACCGGCTCCGTGCTGCAGCTCCAGCCCGTCCAGGGGTCTCTCCTGGGGGCCATGCCTGTGTGTGAGCGGTGGGGTCGGGGACCCCCGGAGGAAGGGGGTCCCCGTGCGCCCGGCCGTTCTGCCGTGTCCCCCCTGAGGTTGGGGGCCGCGGGCCTGGCGGTGCTGGCGTGTGCTGCGCTCCTGTACCAGGGGTCCTTACAGGGACACACGCCGGCCACGCGTGGGCTGGCCACGCTGCTGCCTGCGCAGGGCCCGGGCTCGAGGGGCGCCACCAGGACCAGCTTGCCCCGGGACAGGGGTGTGGACACGAGCCTGCAGTGCGGGGCGCCCCCCGACGGCCGGTTCGACTGCGCCCCAGATCGAGCGCTCGGCCGGCGGGAGTGCGAGGCGCGGGGTTGCTGCTACGCCCCCCTGGCGCAGAGCCGCTCGGCGGGGCCACCCTGGTGCTTCTTCCCTCCCTCCTACCCCGGATACAAGATGGGGCCCCTGACCCCTACAGAGAGGGGCCAGACTGCCACGCTGAGCCGCGCCGCCCCCTCATTCCTGCCCCGAGACATCAGCACCCTGAGGCTGGAGGTCGTGCTGGAGTCCCCGGGCTGCCTGCACCTGACGGTGAGTGGCCTCTGTGGGCAGCCTGCGTCTCTTGCTCAGCGCCTGCGCTGTGTGCTTGTGGTTCATCTGAAACTTCACTGTAGTGCAGACTGACTGCTCTTCCAGCCAGTCAGCTCCCAGCGGGGAGGCTGTAGTGAGCAGGAGGGGCGTGTCTGGGGG